CGGCTTCGCGCGGAGGCGACGCTCTAGCCGCCAGCTGGCGTTCTAGGTGGGCCGCTCTAGCCGCGAGGCCGCCAGGCATTCGAGCTGGGGAAGGCCGCTCTAGCCGTCAAGACAGAGGTGCATACGAGTTGGGAACCGTCTCTCTACCGGCTCCCTGCGCTTTTCCTGACTTCCGAGATTACGCACAAGCCAGAGCGCCGCGCAGGCGCACACGCAAATGTGGTTGGGTTGGCTGGGGGATGTTTCGTCACCCCGTGAATTCGCCGGGGTCGAGCCCACCGCCCGCCCCAGTACTCAGCTCCCTGGCTTCAGGCACCCGCCGGCGATTTCTAACCTTCCCTAACCGGAAGACCTGAGCCCCTGGGAACTCCCCAAAAGCTCGGGATTGCCAGGCGCGGTGGTTAATCCCAGCTACTCTATTGGTTAAATCAGGAAGATCTCAAATTCGAGCCTAGTCTTGAGCGATTTAGCGAGAGCCAATCTCGAACCATAAAGGGGCGGGGTGGGGTTCATATACATCCGGAGTCCGGCTCTGGGGTCCAGCCGGTAGCGGGCAGTGGGCTGCGCAGTGAGGGGTGCCCCGAATGTCCACTGGGACCTGCTTGAGAGGACCGGCTCAGCTGGGCAGAGACCTGCAGAGCTCCGAGTGGAGAAAACTACCTGCTACTGAAAACTTAGTCCCCATGGTGAGTCACTGAGGTGAAGGCTGGGTGGTTAGGGTGCACTCATGGGATAAAGGGGTCACCTGTGTGGGTCAGCTGTAAGCCCACTTGACGATGTGCTCGAGACATGCTTTGAACCCGATGGGGCCTGCAGAGCCCCTGCCTCCACAGGCTTCAACAGACAAGTGCCTTTGACCTTGGACCTCCAGATCTCTGAGAAATACACTTATAAATTTATTGAGACAGGGTCTCACTATGTAGTTGAGCCTGACCTGGACCTATGTAGCCCAGGCTGGTCTTGAACTCAGCAATCCTCCTGCCTCAGCCTAGTGCTGGGATTACAGACGTGCATCACGCCTGGCTTATTTTCTTTTAAATCACAAGGTCTCGTGTTTTTTTCGTTGTTGTTTTTTTTGTACTAGGGATCAAATTTGGGACCTTGCGCTTGCGAGGCACATGGCGGAACCACTGAGCTATATCCCTGGCCCCTCTCTGGTATCTTTATGCCAACAGAAACGCACTATGACACTGCCCACCTTTCGAGGCGCTGGGCTGGGGATCTGCACACCACACCAAGTGGCCCAAAGCTAGGCTGGCTGCTCCACCAAAGACTCGTACAGTTCAACATACATTTTATTATCGCTGTTCTGCAGAGAGATGCCAGCTGAGAAGCAGAGAAGCTACAGATCCCACTGTGGAGGGACAAACAGGAGGTCCCTCCTGAGGGGTTGCGGCCAGCTCCCAGGGGGACAGAGCAGACCCACCTCTCAGGCCCAACACAGAGGGCTGGAGAATTCCCGGAGAAGAGGCTCCCCTGCCAACTTCCTTCTCCAAGGTCCAGCCCTGGGGACAAGTCACAGACCACATCAGGACCAAAGCAGGGGGCCAGCCGGTGACAGAAGCCAGCAGGCTGAACACAGGAGGACAGCTGGGGCCAGGGCCCACTCCTGGCTCAGAGGGGACACTACAAGGAACGGGGAGGGCAGGCTAGTTAGACACAGACGGCTCAGGAGACGGGTAGTGTTACTCTGGATAGGCGTTCCCAGTCCAGCCTCAGTCGAATGAGATGAGCTGGGCCTCGCTGCCCTGTGCCTGCGCCTGCGGCCCCTGCACAGGCGGCTGCGGGACCACGGGGGGCTGCTGCTGGGGCGGGCCGCCAGAGGGCGCCATCTGCAGGAGGAAAGCGGACCCGGGTCAGCATCCCGCTCTTCCAAGATGGAGACCCCGCTGTCTGCAAGCTCCCATGCTGTCACTTGTCCCATCTGTGCGTGTGGACACGTGTTCGTGTCTATGTCCTAGATATGTCTGCAGAGAAGGGAACTGGCCTGAGAAGCCCACCCGGGGCTCACCTGGGGGTACACGGGCTGCTGCCCCGTCATGTAGGTCTGCTGGGCCGGCAGAGATGCGTCCTGGCCAGGGAGGGTAGTCATGAGATTCTGCGGAGAGGAAAGAAAGTCTGACCCCGAGACCCTTGTGGTGTCCAGGAGCGCCCTGAGGGCCGGGGTGAGCGGGCTCCTCACCTGCATGCTGTAGGGCTGGTAGCTCAGGGACACCGACTGGCCGCCCACGTAGCCCATGCTGCTGGACTGTGGGGGCTGGGAAATGGCTGGGAGGCTCTGCGGGGCCTGGGAAGCCACATTCTGCAGAGGAAATGGTGACATGGGGAGCTGGCGGGGGAGGAGCGAGGCAGGACGCAGGGGGGCAGCGGTGCCTACCTGGTAGCCTGGAGCCGGCGTGGGGGGGTAGGATGAGTAGGCAGAGCTGGGGGAGGGCCCGGCAGGGGCCTGGGGGGTTGCCTGGGTGCCCGGGGCGCCTGCTGGGTACATGTAGGCGCTCACCAAGCTGGGATCTGCCACAAAAGAAAGCCTGTTTAGCCCCCAGGTGGGAGGAAGGAGAAAGGCGCTGCTCTCAAAGGTTTTCCTTTTTGTGACTTTTGGAACCAAATTCACTCATGTCTCACACTCTCATAAAGGAAAATAAAGCCAGGAGTGGTGGCACACGCCTGTAATCCCAGCCCTTGGGAGACTGAGGCAGGAGGACTGCTGAGTTCGAGACCAGCCTGGGCTACACAGTGAATTCCAGGTCAGTAGCAACTACAACTGAGCCCTTGTCTCAAAAAACAAAAAAACAACAAAAATGGAAAATAAAACTGGTAAGGACGGGAGGTGGACCGTAGGTGGAATGGAATCAGAACACATGAAGCAAACTGTTGAGATGACTGATGGTCACACTAGGGGCCTGGGACAGTTGACCGGAGGCTCCTGAGCTACATCTGGACTCCTGCCCTCAGGCCAAACAGGGTACAGACCCCAGTCACAGGTGGGCCAGGGCACTGTTCCAGGGTCCCAGCTCAGCATTCCTGAAGGGACATTCTGCTTGGGCTAAAAATGAGCACATAGGACCTTGGACTGAGGACAGCAGCGGAGGCACTGCTTTACCCTCTGTGAAGGTGTTCAGACCACACTTGCCATGTACTGAGCTCTCCTGCTGACAGCATCAGGGAGACCTGAGCACAGCCAGAACCCACGCCATGGCTATGACAGGCACCAGGTCAAGCCAAGCAGGAGCCCTGCTGACTCACAGAGGACAGACGACCCAAGGTCACAGGAGCCAACCGGCAGCTCGCGAGTCACACCAGGGATTACACGAAAATCTCCTACATCACCAGCCAAGCACTGTGCCCCTTTAAGTAAAGAGTCCACCAGCCCATAAATAACAAAAGCAAAAAAAGGAAAAGCTTCTTCTTCCAGGGGAAGAATTAGAAGGGCACTATTTAGCAAAGATAATAGCAGGGCATGATGGTATGTGCATGTAGTCCCATCCAGTCAGGAGGCTGAGGCAAGAGAATCTCTTGAGCCCAAGAGTTCAAGTCAGCTTGGGCAACATAGGCACACGTTGTCTAAAAAACAAACAAACAATGAACTCGGGCAAAATTCAGCAAGTTAAGAGCAATTAACTTTTGAATTCTCCCTACTTATCCAGAGTAGCTTTCTTTTCTCTCTTCCTCCTTCCCCATCTTCAAATAAATTGGCTTTTGGTGGGGGGATACCAGGGATCGAACTTGGGTCCTTGTGCTTGCAAAGCAGGCGGTGGAACCACTGAGCTAAATCCCCAGCCCAAATTGGCCTCTTTTATTTAAAAAAACAAAATTAGAAAATATTAAAGCTGGATGAAAAGTGAGGTGAAAATTTGAAAAGAACTTCAGTATTGGCAGAGCCTCAGCCTCTCCCTAAGGATACCAGAGCTGACAGGGACAGGTGGTAACTTCAGGGCAGAGGACTGCCAGCCCAGGAGCCACCAGGTAGGAGCAGCCTAGTGGCCCAGGTGCTAAGGGGCATCCTGCCATAAAGGGCAGAACCTGGGCAGGCATGACGGTCCCACCACATGCCTTCCTGCCCTAGCGTGCACCAGGACAGGCATTTTGGGGGACAGGGCAACCCCTGCCTGAACTGCAAAGGGGTTCAGGAGAAAGCAAGTGACTGTGCATGTGGGCAGAATGGAGCCGGCAAGTGTGAGAAAATGCTCACATAGGGGATCTGGAAAATTTTTCTTTTTTTTTTGTACTGGAGCTCAAACTTGGGACCTTGCATTTGCAAGGCAGGTGTGGTACCACTGAGCTAAATCCCTGGCCCTTCTGGCTTTGTGAGAAAGGGTCACATTATGTACTTCAGGTTGGCCTTGAAGTCACTCTGTAAACTGGTCCAGCCTCAGACTGGAAGATATCCTCCTGCTTCAATCTCCCAAGTGCTGGGATGACAAGCGTACACCGACACACCTGGCATCTGTGTCATTTTTGTAATTCTGACAATCAGACTATGATGAAATCAGAAGACTAAAGCAGTGGTCTGAAGTTGTCTCAGCTGGTCCTAGCCCCCCACCTTGAGGTTACCTGCTGTGGTGCCAGGCATGCTGGGGTAGGGGCCAGCGGCTGGGGCTGGCTGGCTCATGTACACGCTGTGCATAGGGGAGCCCTCCACTGAGCCTGCTGGACTGAAGGTGGCGGGGAAGCTGGCCGGGCCTGAAGGCTGGTAGAGCACACCCCCAGCTGCGGGCATGGCCTGGAGCTGGGGAGAGAAGAGGGCAGGTGAGCTGGACAGGGGGACACACACACACTTGTTATCCTGGTCACACTGGAGCCTCCACCAGGGGACAGCAACAAGGCTAGCTGGCTAAATTCAGCAGAACTTGCCCTCAAAATAAAACAAAAAGGGCCTCCCGGGCGAGGCTGAGGCCAGCCTGGGCTACATAGTGAGTTCACGGCCAGCCTGAGCAGTACAGCAAGACCCAACCTCAAAAAAACAAAGGTGGGGCTCAGGATGTAGCTGTGGCAGAGCACATCAGTTTCATCAATACCAACATAAAACAGACAAGAGGTGGCAGTGGGAGGGGAGGGAGGGCAGCACGTGCCTGGGCATAGGGCAGGGGAAAGGCAGGCATCTGGGCACGCATCTGGACAGTCTGCTTCTGCTGCTCCAGGCGCATCTGCCTCTCCTTCTCCTGCTCCTGCAGACGCTGGATGGCCAGCTGTCTCTGCACCTCCAGGTACTCCTGTGGCAGAGGTGGCATGGTCAGGTGGCTCCATGTGGCCCGCGCAGACAAGCCTAGCTTGCTGGGCGGGGGCTGTACCTGCTTCTTCTGCCGCATGATCTCCAGCTTCTGAGCCAGCTGGATCTGGCGCTGGCGCTCAGCCTCCTCAGCTGCCCGGCGCAACTTCTCCCGGTGCTCCTCACGAAGGGCGCTCAGTGCCCCTCGGGCATCCCGAATCTGTGCCAACTTGTCCTGCAGCCCCTCGTAGTACACTGTGGACAGAGAGCAAGGCAGCCTTGGCCACTCCAGTATAGACAGGAAGGGTGGCAAGGCAGGGCTGATGTGGTCAGCTGGCTCTGGCAATCAGTGAGGCTCAGCCCTCTCCCCAGGGCTCACACCTGTGCTTGGCACCGGAGACTACCGCCCACCGAGACCCTCTGGAGATGCCTGTGGCCTCACTAAGGGCCAGGCAAGGGGACCCAGGCCTCCTGTGACAGATCCCAAAGGTGCTCCCAGAGCCCCCCATCTGAGGAGCTGGGGCTCTGTGCACGCACGCCTGCGCTCGTCCAGCTGGTTGAGCAGCTCAAGCAGCTGCGGGTGCATGCTGTTGATGGACTGGAAGAGGGAGAGCACGGCGGAGTCATTGGTGATGCTGCGGCCCCGCATGTGGTTGCTCTTCATGCGGTTGACAAAGGTGGTGACGGCATTCTGCAGGGCCTTCAGGAACTGCTCGTGGCTTTCCTCCGACTCCCCGTTCTGGTACTGCTGCTGGGACACAAAGTGGGTGCTGAACGCTCTCCCGGGGCAGTGGCTGCCCTGTCTGCCAGGCCTGAGCAGACTTCATGCCTGCTGTTCTCAGGGCCTGGGGCATGCCGGTTCACACGCTAAGAAATGAGGGCTGAGTTCAGGCTCAGAAATCCCAGGAGAGGTGAGATTCATCTCAGTGGGTCTGGGCTGCCCAGGAATGGCTGCCCTGAGTCCTATCTGGAGGGGCTGGGTCCCAGCCCCCAGCCCCACATAGCCGAATTTTGTCATAAGCCGCAGGGGCCTAGCCACCCTCGCTCCAGCCCAGCCGGCCAGCATTTCCTCACACCGCTCACCTCACTGAAGGGGGTTCCGGAGGAGGTTATGGGCTGAGTATCCATTTCTGGGAGGGGAGCCTGGCAGAGAGCAGAGGGTCAGCGGACTTCTGGCCTGGCCTAGTCCCACCCTAGCACAGGGAATCAAGCGTAGAGGGCCACACCTCCACTGCGCTGGCGGGCACCGGGTGCCCCTCCCCAGGCTGTGCAGCTGCCTCAGTCAGGGGCGCGGGTGCAGACGGCGTGGGGCTCTTCCGGGCTTCCTCCTGTTTCTTCTCCCAGTAGTTCCGGTTGAGGTACCGCGCAAGCTGCACAGCAACAGAGCGGGGGTCACTCATGGAGGCCAGGAGGTCAGAGGACAGTATCTGCTGTCAGGGTCCTTACCTCAGGGTCAATGTCCTCAGCAAGAGGTGCCGATGAGTTCTGGGGAGACAAGGACGCTCTGAGTGGTCACAGGCCGAGGAGAACAGTGACATGGTCAGAAGCAGCCACTCAGGCAGGGACCAGAGAGAGCCAAAGGACAGCAGAGCCCAGCACTGGCCAATGCCACAACCCCTTGGCTCTCAGGCTCCTGATGAGAAGGGCATCTGAGCGTGCTCTTCCCTTCTTCTCAAGTAGCATGAGCTTAAGAGCTTAAAAAGGCTGATCACTTTTCAGACTTTTGGCTAAGATCAAGTGTAGAGCTTAAAAAGGCTGAGAAAGGGCTGGAAGGCACTGGACTCCAGGTCTGTGGAGGGCAGCACCTGGCCAGTTTCCCAGGGGCTCCCGGCACAGTGCCAGGCTCTTCTGATGAGGACATGTGGTCTAGGCCTCACTCGCCCCAGTCCTGAGGCCCTGCTGCCAACCAAAGAGGAAGGAGGCCACACAGTCACCAGTGACTTCCTAAATCGGCCACACCTTCTCCAACTGACAGAGGGGGCTTGGTGTCTTCAGCCCCAATGACAGCCCTGGGTAGGAAAGCCGGCACCCAGTCAGGCGGAGCGCTCACCACAGGCGAGGAGTACAGGCTGCTGGCGGGGGGAGCCGATGACGCCAGGGGAGAGGGCTCTGCCTTGGGATGCGCTGTGTAAGTTGACTTCTGTCTCTAAAGCAGAACAGGGAAGAGGTGTTGCTCAGGAGGAGGGGTGGAGCCTCCACACAACTCTGTCCCCCCAAGCACCTCCAGGAACCCCAGGGTCCCCCCTTGAGCCCAGGCCTCACTGCTCACCAGCCTCTCCTTCTCCTCGGCCTCGGACTGTGACAGGGCCAGGGCCAGCTGCAACTCTTCCTCCTCCTGCAGAGCCGTCTCATCCCTCTTGGGAGGCAGCTGAGGACGACAAGCACCGTAAGGAGAGGCCCAGGGAGAGGTGCTCAGGGGACAGCAGGCGAGAGGGGAGGGTACCTGGGACTGCTGTGACAGGGGGCTCGTCAGGTACTCCGGAGGCAGGTCAGTAGCGGCGGTGGCCTTTCCTTCCGCTTTCCTGGAGGCAGAGTGGGAGGCAACAGGTGACCATGCACTGATGCCTGCCCCGCACCAACGAAGTTCTCCACCAACCCGCCATGCTTCGTCCCTCTGTCCCATCAAGTGATGACAGCAGTGCCACAGGTGCTTGGAGCCTGATGGCTATACTCCAGGGAGCAACAAGGACATGGGGCCCTCAGCCACCTTCAGGGAATGGATGGGTCACAGCCTAAGCCAGAAACAGCCTCAAATCCTCTGCCTGGCCAGCTAAGCACAACTTAACTTCCTAAAGCAAGTGGATGCTGCCCCATATTCTCCCTGGGACAACAGTGGGCCTCATCCCCAGAAGGTGCTAGAAAGGGCAGCAAAACCTGTTATGATGCTGAGGCTGGGCCAGGACTTTTCTAGAGTTCTATCCAGATGATGCAGATCTTGCAAGTGGTGCCTGAGGGCCACACACTCACGGCATTACTGGAATTTCAACATAAACATGCTAACACCTCTTATTCAAAATGAGCCTTAAATTCTTTTCTACAAGAAAACTGTACTGAACAGCAGGGACACACTGGAGAAGGGAGAAGCAAAATCAAATGGCCTGCACACAGGAAATAAGTCAGGAAAGCGCTGCTGCAGAACCACTTTGTCATGAGTCCAAGAAGGGGAACCTTGGGGGCTCAGCCTCAGGTGGAACTGCTGCCCGCTCCAACTAATCACAGAAGAGGAGGAGCTTCCCAGGGAGCACACAACCTCAGTACAGCAGAATCCCCAGGTCACAGCCTCTCTTTGGAGTTCCCTTCAAAAATGCAGAACCTAAGTACAAGTTAACTTCAGACAGACCCCAAAGGAGGGACACGGAACAATGGCCTGCACCACACAAGTGTCTACATCACCAATGACAGGCTGAACACACTCTGGGCTAGGGGCCGGGGAGGTGTGACAATAAAAAGCACTGTGGTCGGGCATGGTGGTGCACTTCTATAATCCCAGCACTCAGGAGGCTGAGGCAGGAGAATTGCTGTGAGTTTGAACCAGCCTGGGCTACATAGTGAGCTCCAGGTCAGTCTCAAAAAAAAAAAAAAGCAGTGTGCAGTGTGCAGGGCCGGGGATTTAGCTCAGTGGTTCCACCGCAAGGTCCTGAGTTTGATCCCCAGTACCACAAAGCGGGTACCTGGGCACAACGACCCTGGACCCCTACAGTGAAGCAGGCACCACCACAGTCAGTGTCTGGAAAGATAACGATGCTGCAACTGCCTCAGAGAATGAATGTCCCTAGCTCACCTGCAGTTTAAAATAGAACATGAATGTGTGTGGACACACGCATGCGTACACACACCAGTGTGCCACGGGAGGAGAGAACAATCTAACCAATGTGGCAAAACGCCCACAACTGAGGAAACCGGGCAAATGGTGGGCGCATGTGCCTGCGTTCTTTGTATTACGCTTGCAGCTTTTCATCAGTGTTATTGCCAAGCGTTAGCCAAAGTCAAACATCAGTGACTGGTCTGCAGGGGTCCTCTCGCATTGCCCTGGGCCACAGCACCCCCGGCCTCCTGCCCTGCTGGTCAGCGTCCCCTGGGCCTTCCAGGTCCCGTTCCCAGGGTGCTGTGGCCAGGCAGGCACTCACTTGTTCAGCTGCTCATAGCAGGGTTCGCACACGCGCACCTCCTTCTCGATGCCAAACTTGGGGATGGTGGAGTACTTGGAGGAGCACTTGCCACAGAAGATCTGCCCACAAGCCCGGCAGTGGTGCTGTAAGAGGGGTGGGCAAGGCAGGCCAGGCCTGGTTACAGGGGCCTGACTGGCCCACCAGCCAGAGTGCAGAGCCACAACCCCCTAGGGCGGCAGGGCACTCACCTTGCGGGTCACCACCCCGAACTGTACTCGGCACCGGTGGCACTCCTCAGCATCCACCCAGTCGGGGGCCTACGGGAGCAGCGGTGTCAGGACCACACCCCCCCTCCCCTGCTAAGCTAAAGGTGCAAACATCCCCCACATCCCACAGACTTGAACGAGACCCTGAGATCCCAGCATGGCAGGAGTGACTGTGCAGGCCCCACTCTGCCCACAGTGACCCAAGCCACAGGGCCCAGGACTAAGCTGCTTCAGGTGGGGGAAAGGTCCGCTACAGGAGGATTCCTCTTGTCCAAGGGGTGACCCTGACACTTCCTCCAGGTCTGAGGACGTGTGTAGGATAGGTGATGCTGGACATCAAACCCAGGGCTTCACACATTAGACAAGTGCTAAAAAATTTATTCAAAGGGCTGGGGATTTAGCTCAGTGGCACTGCACCTGCCTCACAAACACAAGGACCTGAGTTCAATCCCCACTACAAAAAAAAAATATATATATATATTTGTTTGAACTCTGTCTGTGAAGCCGCAGCTACAACCCAAGGACCCTGGGAACACATCTCTGTCTTGACCTGCAGAGCCACAGGTGCATTTCCCACTGAAGCAATGAGGGACATCCTCATCTCTCACAAAATGCTTCTCACCCTCCAGTGCCAGATAAGTGATCCCCAGGGCTTTCCTCCTTGCTTCCTCACAACAGCCAGACTCAAGAAGCCCTCACTGGTGCCCACCCGAGACTCACTCTCTCTGCGGCAAACATGGCATCACTCTCCTTGAATTCTGGGAAGACGTGTCCTGGAGAGAGGAGGCTGTGGTCACTGCTGGGTCCCACCTGGGTCAGCTGCATCCTAACTACCAACATCTGCCTCCCCAGCCAAGACCGTGCAGTCTGCCGAGCCCCAACCTGAGCAAATACCTCCAAAGACACCCTGAGCACACTGTCCCTCTTGCTGCAAACCCATCAGCTTGCCAGGACCACCATGAGGAACCCAGGAGGCCAAGGAAACACACCTCAGCTACCATAGCCTGGCCTAAAACCCACCAGGGACTCCTGCCACCCACAGCTACACCCAGCCCTGATGCAGCTTTCCTCTGGGCATTTGCTACTTCTAGGTACCTGCAGCAGCCCACTTGCTCTGGTCCCACGGCATCTGAATCCAAGAGCCCGCTGCAGAGGGTATCAGGGCCTAACTGCTTCCCTCATGTTCATGTCTTAGTGCCCAGAGCACCTCATCGTGAGGCCTTCCTTGCACTGCCCACCACCGGGGCTGTGTCACTCTGAACTGTGCTTGTCTGTGAACGTTTGTCCACATACTGTCTGCTGTCACCATCCACCCCCACCCAAGAGATGTCCAGGAAGCAGAGCATGGCTCCCACTGTGAGGCCTCTAAGCCTCCCAGAATATCATCCTCCCATTGGGCTCCCGCCGTGAGTCACTGAGGGAGGTCCAGCCTGTCCTCCCTGCCCTGTATCACTGACCTAACTGCCTGGCAGAATGGCCCTGCAGCTCCTGATAGCCAAGTTCCCTCCCTCAGACCAGACTGTGTCCCCTGCCCCTACTCACCCTCCACCTTCATGATCTGATAGGTGTCCTGGACCACCTTGTACTTGGGCTCATTCCTGAAGGCATGCGCCCAGGCCTGGATCAGGTACAGGATCTTGTTTCGGACGTTGACTTCCACTTGCCTCTGCAGAACAGGGAGAAGGTGGGGAGGGCCACAGGACACTCGAGGTACCAGAGATCACAGCATGAGAAGGGTGAAACATGGGTGCCAGGCACCCACCTGTCCCCAGGGTCTGATGAATGAACCCTCACACATTGACACTCAGGGCTATGCTCTTCCCTGAGCCCCCGACTGTATGTCTCTTCCCTTTCCCCACAACCCCTGAGCAGTCATGGACTCCCACAGGTCCACAACTGTCACTTTTTTCCTGGCTCTGGTCAGTCTATACCAGGCAGGCCCAGTATAAAGCATTGCCTCAGGGCTGAGGACAGAGTGGCTGTGAAGCCTGCACAGCCTGGAAGGGCCCCTTACCCTCACATGGGCAGCCCAGCCCCCATGCTGAGGACAAGGTAGGACAAAAGCAGCTTCAAGGAAACAAGGATTTGGGCTGGCCTCCGCAACCGGTCATCAGTGTCCTCTCAGTGTCATTGAGGGGGACAGCCTTGTCCCCATCAATGGCAAACTGGTCTAGAGGACCTGCAGCAGGAGCTCCTCCATCCAAGAGGATGCAGCACTCTCATCCAAGCATTAACCAGGCCCCAACCCCACTTCGCTTCCCCGATCAGACGAGATCAGGCATATTCAGGTTGGTATGGCCATAGACCGAAATTGTGCTCAAATAAGGACAGCATGAGACTGGCCAATGTTCCAGTGAGGACCTCTGAAGAGCCCGGTATCTATCAGCTTGGACCCTGAGGTAAGTGGGCTCTGGGCAGCACAGGTCTACTATGTGACCACGATCCAGCCCTGGTCCTAGCAGATAGAAAGCTGCTTCACCTTTGTGGGACAACTTTCCACCAAGCAACAGCCACACCACTCCCTGCTCTGCATCACAGCGCACATCACAATCCCTGCAGGTGGCTCTGGGACAATCTACCAGGGATCTAGAGGACTATTCCTCTTTTGAGGGAGGGCATGAAACCCACCCTCCCTGAAGGGGCTCCTGCACTGCAGTCTGCCCTGACTCTTCCCCTGTTCAAATCCCTCCCATCCCTAGGGACATTCTCTGGGACTCTTGTGCTTGTACACCCAGCAGCTGCAACACCGGCTCTGCCCACCAGGAATGCCATTGCCTTTCAAGATTCAGCTCCAAGCCCTGCCTCCTGGAAGTCTTCACGGGTCCTCCAAGAAGAGTAGCTGTCTGCCCTTGAGCCCAAGACGCAACACCCAGGCCGGGCCTGTTAAAGCTCTAACCTTGCTGGATTGGGCCTCAAGGGTCTATCTTTCCCTGGGCCTGAGCCCAGGCAGCACAGGGAGTGCCGACATTCCCTTCACACCCACTGCTATGCTCTAAAACGCCAATAAACACTTGGAAAAGCAGGGGTGATTACCGGTGCCGCCACCTTCTCATGACTCTGGAGGGCACCTACCTTCAGCAGCTCCTTCAGCTCCTCCATGGTTTGCTTGTTGGCCACCTCATCGTGGACTGTCTGTCCACAGTTCTTCACCACAGACTCCATGACCTGAGGATCCCAGAAAGAGAAGGGAATCAATGGCCAGGGCAAGAGCCCCTCCTCCCCCCAGTGAGAAGGCAGGCCTCCAGCAGGCGTCTCAGGCCACCCAGCAGGTGGGGAACCTCAAGCAGCAGCTTCAGAGACAGGTGGCAACCTACATACCACGTTCCCTCTAATGTATGTCTTATTGCCAAGAAGAGCAGTGAGAGCTGACCCTCAGAGCTTTCCGTGTGGACTGTACTCAGTAAAGCTACACCATCCCTCCCTCCCCTGCCACCTTTGGGTCACCCAGCTCAGTGGCATGCTTCACAACTGCAATCCAGGGTAGAAGGGACTCCACCTAGGTGCTACGTGCCCAGGAAGGTGGCAAGGCTGTCTATTGGGGTGGGGCGGGGGACCCCTGAGGCTGGAGGCCAGAAAACATGCATGGAAATCTAGTTACCTCCAGGGCATACAAGGCCACATGTGGATTCTTGTCATTGACTTTCTTCTTGATGGAATTTACAGCATATTTTGCTCTGAAAGAAGAAGACCAGTAGCAATAGCAGAGAAAGAAAAAAAATCCCAGCAAGTAAGATGAGAAACTCTGCCTACCATCTTAGTCCTTTCAACCCTCTTACGCAAATATTAACATAACCAGGTGTCTCCAAACAGCAGAGAGAAAATTCTCCACATGTTCCCAGATATGGCCATTCCCAGCATGTGGACCAACTGATTACCCGCATGAGGGCCTCACTGGTTAGCTAAGGCTTGGAAATCAGAGGGCAACAAGTGACCCCAGCACTATGCAAGGCTGCCCCTTCACTTTGCAGAACAAGTCCTCCTCACTTACTGCGTGTCCCCCTGGCGGATCAGGTCGCAGATCTGCAGGATGGACTCCCAGTCGGTTTCCAGCAGCAGCTGGCTGGTGGCTTTGTCTGCAGGAAAGACATGCCATTCAGAGGCTTGTTCTGCTGTGACTGTTTAGGTTGCCCCCGGCCCAGTAACAGAGAAGAGACTCCCTTCATTTTAGATATTTGAACCAAATCAAAACCGCAGGCAAGGACGGGGATTTGGCTCAGTGGTTCTGCCACCTGCCTCACAAGTGCAAGGACCCGAGTTTGATCCCCAGTACCAAAAAAAAAAAAAAAAAAAAAAAAAAAAAGAATCTTAATGCTGGGCGTGGTGGTGCATGCCTATAGTCCCAGCACCTTGGAAGGCTGAGGCAGGAGGATCACTGTGAGTTCCAGACCAGCCTGGGCTACATAGTGAGTTCCAGGTCAGTCTCAATTGCATAGTGAAACCCTTTCTCAAAAAAAAAAAAAACAAAAACCAAACCGCATGCAAATCCTCCAGATGCACACTGACAGCTGTGGAAGTGCCATTCTTCCCAGAGCAGCAGCAAATGGAGTGGAAATCATAGAAAATGTCTGTTGCATGCTTGTGACACACAGGTGCCATTCCAAACAGTGAATTAACTTCATCAATTCCCGCAGAATCTCATGAACTAGGTACTATATTCATCTATTCTGCAGATAAAGAAAACAAGCAGAGGTGAGAAGTCACAGCCCGCCACACACAGAGCCAGGATTCACTCTGAAACACTAGGCTCTGTGGCTTTTTAACTGTTACCTGCCTTCCCTGAGTTCCTATCTTTGCAATGCTTTGTCCTGTCCATTAGGCAAGCCTTGGACAGATAACTAACAGAGCCCAGTCCTCTACAGGCACTTTGTGTGTGTGGGAGAACTGATCTCTGAGCATCCCACTCGTACATCTTCTCTCCACATCCCTGTCACATCCAACAGACGGACTGAGGGACTACCGCAGACCGCGGCCTGCATTACCTTCCTCAAACATACAAACAACCAAATTCCAAAAGCTTATGGATTCATCCTCAAAGTACTGAGTCACCTCATAAGGCTAAGATACTCAGCCTACATGTTCCAAGAGCAAAAAAAAAAAAAAGTGTCACATCTAAGATCTCCTTAAAATTGTTGCTTCAGGATAAGGCAGGGTGGGGCAAACCATAACAACACCTAGCTCCGGTCCCCAGACAAAGCACATTTTCACGAAGGCAACAAACTTCCTCGTCCCATAATGTGCAGTCTTCAGGAAGCTCAGACAGGATCAGCAAGCATTTCCAACAAAGAGAAGAAAGGCCTTCCAAAACAACTGGGCACTTCCAGAGCCAGAGAACACATGGGGCGGCCTGGGTCCCAGGAAGCAGCCTCCAACGGGCTCCAAAGATCCAGGCAAGACACAACCAGCTCCACCCATCGATCAATATTCAGTTAGAGGTCTCACGTGAGGTTCAAATCTGAGTCACCCACTTCGTGACTCAGGACTTGTACCCAGCTAGTCTGGTGCTGTCGGAAGGGGACGAAACCAGGTCCCGCGACCACCCTCGCAGCGCCGCCCTCGCTGGCATCCAGCGACGCGCGCAGCGCCTGGCCGAGCTGGCCACACCCGAGGCCCGTAGTTGGTGCCGCGCGTCCGGGAGGCCCATAGCAGAGGAGCTGTCGAAAGGACAAACTGTTCCCCGTGGGCTCGGGGATCGCTCCCAGAGGGTAAGTCAAATGACAGACTGCTGGCTTTCAGCAGGCGCGTTACCTAGGAGACGCTCGAAGGTGCCGCTGCCTCGCCCCATGGTGACCCCGGACCGGACAGACGCTACGAGCGATCCCTCGCTCTGAGCTGGCGCGCCCCCCAACTTCCGCTTCCGCCTTCTCCTGCCAGCAGGCGCACGCGCACATTGCGGTGTCTCTTAGCCGTGAGGGGGCGAGACCTTCCGCCTGCGGCTGATGCTGGGTGCTGATTGGGCCGCGCCGAGGTGATGAGTCCAGAGAAGCAATGAACGATCTGAAGACGAGGTCTATCCAATAAGAGCGAGGAGAGGGCGGGCCTTGACTGTCGCGACACAGAGTTACGGGTGCCGGGCGGCGCGGCGGGTAGAATGTGTCTTCTGCTGGGCGCCTCTGGTGTGGGGAAGACGCTGCTGGTGAAACGCTTGCAGAATATCCTTCCGTGTCGCACGGCGTGCGAGAGGGAACCCTGGGCTGGGAAGGGAGTTACTGGGGGGTTTCCCGGCGCGAGAACTCAGTTCTGTGCGGCGCTCGGGTCCTTGACTGCCCGTACAGCTGTGCTCCCAGGATGGCAAGGGCGACCTGGGGGACCCTCCCCCTACGCGGCACACGGTAGGTTTCCGCCTCTTGCGGGTCGAAATAAGGCCACCTTTGCAGCTTGCAAAGCACCTCAGGCTCCACTCTGCGGAAGCCCTAGTGCAGCCGGTCGGTGCGTTTTGGACAGCCTGCCTCCGGGAGCGGAAAACTGAATCTCCCGAGGCCCGAAGTCCTGCCGCTAGACGGAGCAGAGCCCGGGCCGTAGTCCCGCAGACACTTTCTGCTGTCCTCCTCTTTCTCGGTCTCTCCCACTGTAGATCCTCCTGGTGGGCGTGGGTCGGAGATTCCCAAGAAGCGTTGCCTTTGTCCTTGGTGGTCGATCCTGCCTTCAGGCCTGAGCCCTTGGAGAGCGAGTCTTTTAGGGTTAAAGTCACAGTAAAATGTGTGTGCACTGCTGCTCCGGAGTTCAGGATCACGCTGGCTTTGTACTCTCTTTATACCGTGCCTTTTCCCACAGGTGGGCACCAACCTTACTGACATCATGGCTCCAAGAAAGATAACCATTCGGGAGCTCGGAGGGTGCATGGGCCCCATCTGGTCTAGTTACTATGGAAACTGCCATTCGCTTCTGGTGGGTGATAAGCCTTTGAACTCCCTTTAGGATAACAGTCTCTATCCCTGGGCTGTCAAATCATAGACCCTGCTGTGCATAGAATGGGATTTGCGTTCTGTGGTGACAGTACTAGTCGAGGAACAGGCCCTGGCTGGACTTTCTTCCCGATGGTCAACAGTCTGATTTCTGATGATTTGAGCTGTTAGAGCTCTGGGTAGGCTTGCTGAGGGTGGTCTGTCTTTTAGGCTTTGGCCCCTGGGTGTATCCTATATTTATGTTTGATTTCTACATCTCTGTGGTTGGTCCCATTCTGGTAAGGCCCATACCCCAAGTTCTAGGATGGAGAATTGATGGCCAAGAGAATACAGACTTCCATGTAGGTGAAAACAAACAAGTGGCCCCAGGTCTTCCCCACACTGCTCACTTCCCCTGCTGTTGTGTGGTACCAGAGCCCCTTGTTTGAAAGTCATTGTGGGGGCTGGGGGTGTAGCTCAGTGGTAGAGTGCTTGCCTAGCATTCAAAGCCCTAAGTTTGATCCCCAATACTTCAAAAGTCATTGTGCTCTTCATGAGCCAGATGTAAGATGCCCAGGCAGGAGGTTGGTCAGGACTCTTCCATCACAGGATGTTGCAGATGTTTTTCTTCTTCCCCAGTTCATGATGGATGTCTCTAACCCCACCCAGCTCTCTGCATCCTGCGTGCAGCTCTTGGGTGTCCTTTCTGCAGAACAACTTGCAAAAGTGTCAGTCCTGATTCTCTTCAATAAGATGTACGGATTTGTAGGCTAAGGAACTTGTGGCTGGGAGGATGGGGTTGGGGATCCCAGGGAGGAGCATTTTGGGGTATAGCCAGGTGTATGGCTTAAAAATGAGGGGATACAGCCAGTGATTGGACAGGTTTGTGACAGCCACCACTCTGATGGCACTTCTTTAACTACAGTGACCTACCCTGTTACATGACCACGGAGGAGATTCAGTCATTACTCAGGCTTCCAGACATCATTGCTTGTGCCAAGCAGAAAATCACTGTAGCGGAAATCAGCGCCCGGGAAGGCACTGGCTTGGCCAGGGTACTGCACTGGCTCCAAGACCAGCATAGAACCAGGTGCTGACAAGTGGAGAAATGTAGCTGGCTCAGCGGTGGCCAGGAGGCAGAGGATGGCACTGCGTGGCTCCTGATGGTTTGTTCTGATTGGGGCACAAGAGCCCAACATAGCTCTAGATGATAGGTTTCCTTGCTGAGCTGCATCAGAGGGTAAACTGAGATACCCAGAACACAGAAACTGCTGCTGCCTGGCCTCTGAAAGAAGGACTATTCCCGGGGCAGGGAGAGGATAGACCTGCGGGTGGCTGGGTGTCCTGTTGTCATCCTGCGATGGAGCTACTGGGACTCCTTCCAGGAAATACTTTCTTGGATGTGCTGCACAAATCATGTCACCCCAAAGTTATAGACTGTCTCAATCCCCGTCCCATTGGTACTACAGGGACAGCAAGGTGTGATCACAGCTAATACTATATGATGAAAGACAAGTTAACAAAAGAAGAGTGTAATAGGCGTTTTTTGGAGGTGTACTGGGGACCGAACTAAGGACCTTGCTCTTTCGAGGCAGGCGCAACACCACTGAGCTAAATCTCCAACCCCATGATAGGCTTGTGTGTGTGTGTGTGTACCAGGGATTGAACTCAGGACTTTGTGCTTGCGAGGTAGGGGGAGGAACCAAAAATCCCTGGCCCCATAATAGGTTTTTTAAATCAAAGTTTTACATGAGAGGAGAGCCTTCATCAAAGAAGATCTGAAAACCCAGGGATAACAGTTTTTACAATGCTCTGCTTCAGTGAGGATGGACAATTATGTGGAAAGCCCATTGGTCCAGGCGTGGTGGCACATGCCTATAATCCCAGTACTTGGGAACCTGAGGCAAAAGGATAGCTTGAAGCCAGCAAGGGCCACATAGTGAGTTCGAGGCCAGCCCGAACTAAACTACATAGTGAGAAAAAGACACAAAAACAAAAACTATATAGTGAGACCATGTCTCTAAAAATCCAAAGGAAGAGCCAGGTGTGGTGTTGCATGTTTGTAATCCCAGCACTTGGGAAGTTGTGTTAGGAAGATCACCGCCAGTTTGAGGTCAGCCCAAACTAAATACCGAGATCCTGTCCCAAAAAAAGAAAAGGAAATGCAAGTGACCTGTAGAGTGTTATCTAAAGCTAATAGATGAAGAGGGCGAAAGTCCTTGGTCTCTAGCACTTTTTTCTCTAGTATATGGGTGGGATCCATCTAAAATAAAGGTCTTCAAGGGAGAAGGAAGAGACTGACTTCTTAATTTTGTGACTTGTTTTGGGGGCAAGGGCTTTGCATCTATGACCTGCCTTGGATAAGAATTCTGGTTTCTGTGACTCACTTTGAAATGGGATGGAAGATGGGATGCAGGGCCGGGATGAGGACATGAGAAGGTCAGGGAGACTTTTCTTGCTTGCTTTTGGTACTGGAGATTGAACTTGGGATCTTGCACTTGCAAGGTAGGCGGTGGAACCACTGAGCCAAATCCCCAGCCCTATTTCTGTTTTTTTGAGACAGGTTTTCCCTATATAGTTAGGCTGGCCTTGAACTCACTCTGTAGCCCAAGATGGCCTCAAACTTGCAGTGATCCTCCTGTCTCAGCCTCCACGCCCAGCTGAAACCTTGTTTCTGAGACCTTCCTAGTCTTCAGCTCAACGTACGAATGACAAGTGCCATACCTCTGGGTTTCATACTGTGATCCCTGATAGTAGATCCTTGTAGGAGATTCCAAACAATGTGTGTGTTTTAGCCCCCAAGTGGCTAAGGGGTGGCCACTTGTTCTTGTGCAATCTTGCATTGCCACCTGCCAAAATGTGGCTCCCTCAAGAGGGCCTCAGCAGAGCTGAGCTGATGCCAGCATCTTGCCCTTGAATCTCCAAAATGGTGAACTCAATCTTTTCTGCTTCAGGTATTTATTATTGCAGCACAAGTGATTGGCATGTGATCTAAAATATTGGTTCAGGGACCCTGATTTCAGAGGACTTCAGCAAAGCCTGATTAAAATTGCCAAGTCTTGGAAAAATCTTTTCAGCAGAATGGAATCTGTCCGATTCTTCAGCTGAGTGTGTAAAGGTCCCAGACATAGGGTTAGCACTAATTATGTGCCCCCACCCCCCATGCAGTGCTTGAGCCCACTTCAGCCTGGTCAGACTCTCAACTCCCACACTCAAGCTTACCCTTTGGCCTAACGTGGTGTATTTCACAGCAGCATTCAGAAACAGGCTGGTGCTGGGAGTGCTGCCAAACTCTGAATGGGCCCCTGAGCCCAGGTGCTTGGGCACCTGATTGTTTAGCACAGAGGGACAACCAATCTACCCTGGGTCAAGGGCAGTGGAACTCTGGCCACCCCATGCTCGGTGCTTGGGTCACCACCAGTGGTACAGTCTGGAGAAGTCTATGGATAGGACAGTGACCCTGAATCCAAGAACAGGTTTCTGGAGCCTCAGGAAGAGGCAGCCTTTGTTTCAGGATCCTGTGCTTCTTCTGGCTGGCAACCAGTTTTAGGCTGGCAGAGCCTCCTCTCTCCAGGGCTATAGCAACTCCCGTAACATTGAGATTGTGTTTTTCTGGACTCTTGGTGAGCCACAGCAGGAACTACTGGCTACTTGGGAGGCATTGCCAGCTAGGAAGGGAGCCTGCTGAGGTGGACTGTTTCAGGCTGTAAGTTGTCTGCAGTATAGGGGACTGAACCCAGGGATCACTGAGCGACATCCCCAGTGTCCCCCTTTCCTTGAGATAAGGCCTAAGTTTCCCAGGCTGACCTGGAACTTGTTATCCTCCTGCCTCAGCCTCCTGAGTAGCTGGGATTACAGGTATGTACCACTGGGCCCAGCAAAGTCTGTTGCTCTTAGTCATTTTGGGATCGTGGTCCACCTAAGAAACTGATGAAGGTGCTGGTCTCCCATTCCCTGCAAAAATAACCACATAAATATTTTGTTCAGAATTGAGTGATGCTGGGGTTCCTTTTAGACCCAGACCTTCTGGGAGATCCTTCTATCCAGAGTCCTTCTTTAGCTCATTGGGACTCAGACTGGAAAGTCCACCAAGACCTCCTACAGATCTTGGGCCCTGCCCCCAGAACTCGAGGGCTGGGACGAGCCCAAGTACCAGTTCCCTGCAACTGCTGGCACTGCTGGGCTGCACTGCACAGGCCTTTCCAGGACCTAGCCTCAGCCCTGCTTAGCTTCCTCCTCCACCAGGGCTTCAACTGTCTGCACCTCTCAGCACTTGCAAGTGCCCTCTGTCCCCAAAGCCCCACCCTCAGCGTTTTCATCAGTTGAGACCCTCAGGCTGACTGCCGCTCCCTTCTACTCCATGGCCGCTGTGAGAAGCCCAGGTGAGCCAGGGCTTCAGTTCCTCCAAGCTCCACTTCATAGTGACAAACAGCACATACAGCATTGAACCTTCCCCTGCTTCTGTTGTTTCCTGAGATTCCTAAATTGTGCCACAGAGCAGGAGAAAGTCAGAGCTGGGCAGAGGGGAGACTTGAGGCAGGACTTCTGGATCTTAGAGGCAGCAGAGGCCACTGATTGCTTTTGTCAATGAATTTGGGACTCTGCCCCAGGTGGAAACATGTTTGGTAGAGCTACCAGAACCCAGGCCTCCTCAGAATCCTTTGAGGGTTTTCAAGGGCAGAGGACCCATGGACTTTCACATGTGTTCCCCATGGCCACAGAGCTAGAGGAGGCCACCATGGATGACAGCCACACTTACAAAGCCATCAGTCCCACACCTTATCGACTGGGGAGTCTTGTGAGGTGGGGAAGGTTAGAGAGTGACCACTCCCACAATGCCAGCTCTCTTTACCTTCCTTCCCACTGGAGGGAGCCTGACCCCATTTTTGAGGCCTTCTGTGCCCAGCAGCCTGGGGGTCACAGTGGTGCACATTCTTGTGTCCTAGCTCCCCCACATCTCAGGTGAACACAGTCCTGCATCTGGGAGGTGATGCTAGTGAGGCTAGGGTCCTGAATGCGCCTTTGCCTGGGGGTTCCCTGAGCAATCTGGAGCTCCCGCCAAATCAAGCCTAACCCAAGGATCACCTACCTCATCCAGTACTGCAGTGCTGACAAAGAACATGAATACACTTCTGAGTTGGCTGTCAGGAGGAACTTCACCTGGGAAGTCTCCCGTGTGCGCAGTTAGACCAGGGTACTGAGGCCTGAGTGCAGGAGTAAAGGACCACCTCATTCTTTGCTTTTGTCTCCACCTCCAAATTAAACACAAGTTCAGGTTTCCCTTTATGTGGAAAGAGACCATCCCAATGCTGAGGAAGGCAAAAAGCCCCAGAGGCTTCTCTCTGCTCTTTCCTCCTCAAGAGGAAGATGCTAGAAGTGAAGGGAAGGAACCAAGCCGAGGCTGTGGAGGTGGTCAGAACCCCCTTGGCTGTGTGCCTTGTGCAAGTAAGGCTCCTTTGGGAGCCTGGTTTTGTACCCCACCCTGGATTTTGTGCTCATCCAGTGTGTGTGACCTCTTCTGTGACAGGGATGAGAAAGGACAGAGATTCAGACTTGGCCTTGCCTGCCCCGGTGTTACCCCAGTGCTAGGCTTCACACAGTCCCTCCCTAGGCTCTGCAGCAGGCCATCTTCTGTGCCGGGGAAGCAGGAGGGGGAAGGAATGCCCAGGAAGGGAAGGGCCAGCACAGAGGAGGCTGGGTAGCAGGCCCTACATGCTCCCTGGCTGAAGCATCACAGGCTCCATTCACACCCTGCCAGACATCATGCCACAGGAGAGGCTGAAGCCAAATCAAAGAATAGCCTGGTACCGTTTTGTTCTGCCAAATCTGAGCTTGAATCGCCCCAACAGCAGCAGCAGGAGAGTTCTCACAAGGAAGTCCTCTGAGATCCAGTTCCAGAGAAAGAATGCACACCAGGGGCTTCATGCAAGGCCCATTTTGGGGGAACCTAAGGGCCATACTAGGTTCTTTCAGTGTTTTGGGTAACAAAGTAAATACCATCAGTGCCTGGGAATGTACAAGGCTCTAGCCTGGACCAAGCCTGCAGCTGGCTGGGTCACCACAAGAACAAGGCACTCTGATTCTGTGGGAGGATTGGTGAACCCTACTTTCCACCACCCAGGTCTGATTTCCACGCACCCAGTGTCAGTACTGACACTGCACAGTACCAGTGCCACAGCCTGGCTGTCAGTATCCTCAGACTAGTTCAGGAACATAGAGTTGCCCAGGTGTCAGAGCCCAGAACAATTGCAAAAACTAGGCCCTGAGGGGTATGGGACTGGAAATGATCAAGGTGTGTTTACCACGTGGCCTCTGGAATGGATGGATGTAGACATCTGCATGGTCACTGACAGTAGCTCAGGAAGATTCACACTTCTCAGGTGGCAAGTATTGCCGGAACTTGCACTTCTCTAATTGGCCTGAGGCCTTCAATGCTGCTAGGTAGAACTCAAAGCAACACCCATCCCAGTCACCCACCCAGGTGAGTGGGCCACCAGTGAGTGTCACAAGGTAGCAAAAACCACTTCAGAGGCTAACAGTTCTTATATCAAAAATAGCAAAATTTTAAGAAACTGTATTCTGGAAAATGCAAACTTGGGGAAGGAGATTAAAAGATCACACAGGGCCGGGGATCTGGCTCAGTGGTTTCACTGCATGCCTCATAAGCACAGGGGCCCGAGTTCGATCCCTGGTACCAAAAAAAACAAAACAAAAAAAAAAACCACACAAAAGTCCAGCACTTTGACATACTCCTGGCAGACTTGGGATTTTGCTGAGATCTCTGGGAATACCTTCATGGTGGCAGGATACGGGGAAGTATACAGTCCCAAAGGCCTTCACACCTCTTGCCTTCCTTCACCTGAGGGCTAGGTGCTCCCTCTGGCACTGGTGGAATAGTCAAACCCAGTGAGGCCCTGCATGGGCAGGCACTCTCACCAGCCCTGCTGCCTAACCAGAGTCCCAGGGAGGCTCCATCCCTGGCCTCTCTGGCCTGCCCCATTTCCCAGAGAGCTGCTTCTATTTCCGGGTATATCTATCCCAACCAAACCTGGGCTAGGGTTCCCCTGCCTCTGAGGGTGGAGTCTACTAACAGGCAGGGTGGGGTCCTGGCTCCCTGCAAAGACCCAACAGGTGGTCTAGGGGTCAGCCATACCCTGGCATCTGCCTGCCCTCCCGCTAGCCTGCTTATCTGCCCTGCCTGGCCCTGCTTGTGTTAAGCCTGAGGGAGCCTCTTAATGCTGACCTGAGCTATAGCAACAGTCTCAATAATTAACTGGTGTTCAGAGTCCGGATTTTAGGACTCAGTTCTTCTTAAGGTGGCCCTTGGTTCCCTGAGCCTGGACTTTTCTGCTGCAGAATGAAGTTAGGCTCAGAAGCAAGACACTGGTTCCAATCTATGGGGGAGTAGCCCTGTGTGAGACACAGGCCCCTGAGTGGTCACTGGGAAGGGACAGTCTGCAGGGGGAACAAACGAGGAAAGATCTGGAGGCTCCACACTGAGTTGGTGTGTGGCCTCTATCCAGGAAAAGGATCTGCATCTGCATCTCTCCTTGGCTCAGGTATGGCAAGCCCCAGTCAGTTTCCCAGGATACCAGGCTCCTCAGTCTCCATCACAGATGTGCCTCAGGCTTCCTCTGGGAAGTGTGGCCCCGCAGCTGTGGTGGTGGCACCCCCTGCTGCTGTTGTAGTTTCTTCAGGGCCTGGTAGGCCTGCACAGCCCGCTTCCGCTCCTCCTCCACAATCCGCTGCCGGGCCAGTGAGGTGGCCTGAGGCTGCCGGGATACAGCGCCAGGGCTCAAAAGCATCTTCAGCATCAGCGATTTCCTGCCAGGCTGAGAAAGAGAGAGGTAAGGCTGACACATGGGCTGGAGGAGGGAAATGGCAAGGGCTAGGACTCTTAACAGCTCTCAGCCCAGTGAGGTGCTGGTACACCCTATAACACACACAGCACTGGCCTTGGCTGTTTCCTGGCAGCACAGGACAATACTGCTAACTCCCCAGCTTCTGCACACCTAATCCCTACATACCTGGTTTCTGCTCGTGCTGCTCCTGGGCTGGGCAGTCAGCTCTGGGGGCTGCAGGACCACCTCTCCAAACTTTACTGTGTCTGGAGGAACAGAAAGGAAAAAGGGCTGCTGCCTACACGTCACCTTGGCCCTGGTGCCTACAGTCCCTGCCACTCTTGTCCACCCCCACTCCCTGTCCTCAAAGCCAGGACACAGAATATGGACTCATCTGCTAGCCTGCGGGCTATGGACTTGGGGAAATAAGTGGGCTGGTGGAAGGAATAGGTCTGAAGAGTAGGTCTGAAGGGACAGAGCCACTTTGGGAAGGGTTACCTCTCAATAGCTCCTGCTCTAGCCTGTCCACTGCCTTCTCCTTCTTTTTCTGCTGGGCTTTATCCAGTCGCCGTTTCTGGAACCTGGAAAAAAAGCATGATGCCTTCCAAAAGCATGATGCTTGCCCCAATCAGGAGCGGGCAGGGGCCACCCCACTCTCGAGAGGTCAGAGAGGATCCATCCATCAGAGTGAGCTCTGCAGTCACTAGGCCTTTTGAGGGTTCCCAGTTGGTGGCTGTCAGCCCAGGAACATCTGATAATGTCTGTGGACATTTTGGGCTGTAACACTGGACAGCCTAGGAATGCTGCCAAATACTAAGATGCACAGGACAGCGACACTGCAGAGAACCATCCTGCCCCGAGTGCTGGTTACGCTGCTTTAAACAAATGGCCTAGCAAAGTCCCAGAGATAATGTTGTAGCACCTTATGATGACGTTGAATTCTAATGTCTTTTATTTATTTATTTTTGAGCAAAAAGCAGTGGCAAAGTTTATCTGAGAAAGAAATGAAGAGTGGGAGAGAAACTGGCTCTGCAGAGCAATCCTGGTCTGATAGAAAAAGAAGGAGAGAGCAAAGATAAAAGTACATCCTAGGGGCCAGGGATTTAGCTCAGCGGTTCGGTGGCCTGCCTCGCAAGCGCAAGGACCCGAGTTCAATCCCCAGTACCAGGAAAAAAAAAAAAAAAAAAAGTACACCCTGTAGGGCCAGCAGTTTAGCTCAGTGGTTCTTCTACCTGCCTCACAAGTACAAGGTCCCGAGTTCAATCCCTGGTACCAAAAAAAAAAAAAGAAAAGAAAAAAAGTATACTGTGTCTGGGACACACAGTGTAGGCTATTGTGGAAAGTTATGACTGCCAAATTCTAAGGTCTTAAAATAAGTTTGGGGACCACTGTGTGCCACGACCACTCCAGTGGAGTCTGCGTGACAATGCCGGTCACCTGGCAGAAACCAGACCCGAGGTGTCGTCCCCACGGGGTTCAGCCTCCTGGAAGTCCTTGGCACACACCGCATGCAAAGTCAGCCGTGAAGAGAATAGCTGGCCTCTCTGCCTGCAGTTTGGGGACATTGGGTTCATTTGTAATTCTGTTCTATTTTGTCTTTATTACTATTTGTTCATTATCTGTAGAATTGTATTCTGGGCCCAGGAAAGATCAGGAACAATTAGATGTTCCTAGAGATGGGGAGGTGTTGGGGCACAAGAGGACGGGAGGCCAAAGTGCTGACTCTGAGCCCCGGACTGTGAAGTCCTGAAGGTGATCCTGAAGGTGACATGCTGAAGCCAGTCCTTTGTTTTACAAACTTCCCCTTCTGACTGCGTATAGGTGTGGTCTCACCTTGACCTTGTGGTCTTAGCTTTTACAGTACTATTGTCCATCTTTCTCATGCCTGCCTGTGACTGGAATCACTCTTGAAGTGTGCCCTTGAAACTAGTATATATACATCTAGAGTTAGAAATAAAATTGCAGCAGCTACTACCTTCACTACTCAGTGCTGTGTGGTTTCTGACTGTCACCACCGAACCTGCTCCCACCTTTCTGAAGATCCCTGTTCTCCTCGTGAAATCCAGTCTTTGCTCCCCTACGGTCGGTAGCAACTGTGGGTTTAGGCTATATATATGAATTAAGTTTCCTAGAATGTAATTTTCTTGCCTAATGCGCCTGCAAGTACTACAAGGACTCAGAAAAAGGGAGACACTACAACCCATCTACTCTGCAGATTTTACAGAATCAAAAAGATATACCCTAGCTGGGTGTGGTGGCACACACCTGTAATCTCAGCACTGGGGTGGGGGTGGGGGCTGAGCAGGAGGATCACTGTGAGTTCGAGACCAGCCTGGGCTACGTAGTGAATTCCAGGTCAGTGTCAACTACATGGTGAGACCCTGTCTCAAAAACCAAAAAAAAAAGTTATACCCTAGCTGGGCATGGTGTCATACCCCTGGAACCTCAGCACTTGGGAGGCTGAGGCAGGAGGATAATTGAGAGTTCGCAAGGCCAGCTGACTACATAGTGAGACCCTATCTCAAAGAAAAAAAAAAGATACACCCTCCCTTGTAAGAGTCAGGGGAAATGGACGTCACTGGAGACCCCTGCAGTAGGTCCCAGCCTCCTGTGAGCCACCACAGCACCAGCTAAAGGTTAAAGAACAGACAGAACGAGACTTACAGTGAAGCTGAATATAGTGAATCCTGGGTCCTGGTCAGTGCTGCTGATGGCAGCAAGGACAAAAGCCCCCAAGCACATCCAGTATTCACTGAATACAATCGTGAGAAGGAATAGGGAGCTTTGAAGGCATCTAGTGAATTACTGCCGAACTCCTGGCATGATGGTGCCAGGCTGGGCTGTCAGAGAGTTGGCACTGCTTATCTTGCTAGGACAGAAGAAACTGGTACTGGGACCGGGTACAATTAGCAAGCAACCCACAGGGCCAGTGAGAAGTAATTCAGGGGAAAGGATTGTAATTGAGGTCTCTCTGACTTCAGCTGCACGTAACTCAGCAGGGCCCTGCCACTTCACAGACTGGGACTTAGGCCTCGATGACAGCCATTAGCAAAGGAGTAATGCTAGCCCGACTCTGCCAGCTGACGTGCCCGTTTGAGCCACACAGGGCTCAGTATATCTGATTCCTGATATACAACAGTATAAGTGGAATTAGGGAAAGCAAGAAGCCTTCTCATAGCCTGCTAGTACTGGGCAGGGATGTCTCCTACCCTCCCTGTGCCCCCAAAGAGGAAAAATTGGCAGCTATAGATATTTTTATCCTAACTTTGATAAAATCTTGGGTTGGTTAATCTGGAAAGCTGTGTTTAAGAAATCTATCTCAAGCCAGGCATGGTGGTGCACGCCTGTAATCCCAGCACCTGGGAGGCTGAGGCAGGAGGATCACTGAGTTCGAGACCAGCCTGGGCTACATAGTGAGTTCCAGGTCAGTCTCAACTACATAGTGAGAACCCATCTCAAAAAACCATAACCCACCCAAAAAAAAAAAAAAAAAAAAAAAAAAAAAAAAAAGAAATCTATCTCACTGCTTAGCCAAGTGTGGTGGTGTACACCTGTAACCCCAGCACTCTAGGAAGCTGAAGCAGGAGAATGGCAAGTCTGCGCCTAACCTGGGCAACTAGTGAGACCCTGTCTCAAAGTAAGAAATTTTGGGATTTAGCTCAGTGAAAAGGCCTTGAGTTTAATCCTCGGTACTGCCCAAAATAAAAAATAATAAAAAAGAAAAGAAGACTGCATGTTGAAAATACCTCCCTGCCCTCCCACAGGCCAGGAGGAAGATCAAGGCAGGAGGGAGAGGGCAGGCGTGCTATTGTCTGGACACCATCCTTAGTAACTGTACAAAGAGGATAACTAAACCTCAGGACAGTGACATTATCTCAGTATACTTTACAGATGAGAACACCAGGCTGAGCAATTGTAGAACTTGTACAAATGACCAAGCCAAAGGCTCTGGAATCTCTTTTGGACCAGGAAGGAGAACACTGGAAACAACTCCAACCCAGGTCCAGGCTAGGGCTGCATATCATCTTCACCCAGATCCCTTTACAGTACTGATTCCCTTGGAGACATCCCAGTAGCGAGAAGCCTGTCCAAGGCAGATGACTGGGCCCTAAAGCCCTCATGCTCTTCCAGAGAAAATAAAAAACAAAGCAAGTTCTTTGCATGACCTGACCCTTCTCCCCGCTGAACTCTGCCCTTACCAGGACCTTGCTTTTCCTGAATCGAGAAGTAGACAGGGGCAGATGTGGCAACAAAATTCTGTCACTGCAGAACCCACAGCCCGCCCTGCTGGGGCCTCCAGGCAGATTCTGACCTGTCTGGCCCCCGACTCACGCTTTTTTCCGCTCAGATTTCTCCTTCTTGCGAGCTTCCTGAACCTCCGGCTGCCGGCTGGTCTGGTTCTTGCTGAGGAACAGCACGTGCTGGGTCTCCTGCTCCATGCGCTGGATGTAAGCCCCATCGGACTCTCCCTTCCCCTGCTTGAACTTGGGAACCATGATATCAGGCTCTAATCCCTTTGCTTCCTTCTCCAGAGTGTTCCTGAAGGCCACCTGGGCTAAGGACAAAGGAGGACCCCAGAAAAGGTGTGGCATGAGAGTCAGGAGGGGGTAGATGGTGCCAGGCAAGTGATCCAAGCTCACTTCCCCTCATAAGGAAGAGAAGACCAGGCTCAAGTGGAAGCAGCCAAAGAGGATCTAAAATGCTCAGCTCAGGCCATCCTTACAGATGTGACCTCACAGCCTGCTGGTATGTGTCTGTCATCCATTGCAGCAAAACTGAAAAAAGCAAATGAAAACCTATGGATTCTCTTCTGCTCATCCACAAATTTTTTTGGGGGGAGGTGGTTTTGAGACAGGGTCTCACTATGTAGTTGAGACTCACCTGGAACTCATTATGTAGCCTAGGCTGGTCTTGAACTCACAGTGATCCTCCTGCCTCAGCCTCCCAAGTGCTGGGATTACAGGCATGCACCACCATGCCTGACATCCACAAATTTCAATACCCAGCTACTGAAGCAAGCCCAACAGAGCTACCCATATGGATGTGGAAAGATTCTATAAATGAACACAGACCATAGAACAATAATATGAAGAAGAGGTTTTACATAATGAAGTTATGAAAATATGAATAATACCTCTCCACGGAAGGTTGTACAGAACATTTTTTTCAAGGGGAAGGATCAGCCTTTATAGATACGGAGGCTCATGTTTCACTTCATACTTCTCAGAACTGTTTGACTCTACCAAGTATGTGAGTGCACGTGTGCCTAATGCTTGCATACACACTCAAACACACACGCTTTTATCCAGTGCTGGTGATCCAATTCAGGACCCTGAGTGTGCTCTGCAAGCACTCTACCATGGAGCTATATCCCCAGACTTCTGAGTTTATATTTTTAAAATAATTTAACAAAAAAGGCATCAATTCAATGCAGCACAATTCACACATGTGCCATCCTGGGCTGGGAATATAGCTCTGAGGTAGGGTACCTGCCCCAGCATGTACAAAACCTTGGGGCAGAGCCCCAACACCAAAAAAAAAAAAAAAAAAAAAAGAAAAAAAAAATTCCATCCTCCACTTGGGCCAGCATCTCCTCTAACCCTGCTTTCTTATCTCTTAATTTCATAATCTCTTTGGCAGAAAAGCTAAAGTTTATATATCATAAAGTTTATAAATCAAAACAGTAAGGGGCTTGAGGGGAAGGGGAGAATGGGGAAAAAGGATGGGAAGTACCATGTACAGATGCAAATTCCCTATGTTGAGGGCTGGGGATTTAGCTCAGCGGTTCGGTGGCCTGCCTCGCAAGCGCAAGGACCCAAGTTCAATCCCCGCTACTACAAAAAACAAACAAAACCCCAAAATTCCCTATGTTGAGTGTCATCATTAAGTATACCTAAAATGTACCAATAAATGTTTTTCTACTAAAAAAAATCTATAAAACTATTGCTGTAAAATCAGTTTGGAAAAGCAAATATGTATATACATAAAAATGTACAAGCATCTTGACCCCATTGTCCAAGACACCCAGAGTGGCATGAGGCCCAACCAGACACTGGGGTAGGGAATGAGAAAGGCAAGCTTTTCAGAGGGGTCTGACCAATTTTCCTCCTTAAATCTCCAATCCACCCACTTCTTTCTGCCTGTTGCTTAGCGCCTGGTCCAAAGAATCATCACTCCTCACTGGTAACAGCTTCACTGATGATGTATCCACCCACTCCCTTTGGTGATGTCTTTAAAGTAAATCTAAACTGGTCATCTCCGTTAACATCCCCCAACTCCATTACATTGGGAGATAAAAAAACAACAACAACAACAACACTTCTTTTCCCAGAGGGGAAACCCCTTTTGGTTCCCTAAACTGATCCCCACCTTCCAGAAACTCCTTGTATATTTAGTCTCCCCTGGAACCACAATGACACCGCCCTTGCTTTGGCTTTGGTGACACTGGTCTTCCTTCAGTCCTGCTTCCCTTGCCCTTTTCCTTCAGCACTGGGTCTTGTTTCCTCTGCCTGAAACACTATGAAGTAGGATTTGGGCAACTGGGGAGATTCAGACACACAAATCTGCTGCCACATAGTGGAGACCCAAACATACCCTCCTTCTTCCTCTTCTTGAAACTGAGGGATTTTCTCATCTCTTCACGGCTCTTCATGATCTCTCGCAGCCGGAAAGGAATTTCCTGTTCATCCTGATTCTTAGGCTTGCAATTCACTTTCTTCTTTTCTTTGCTGGGAAAGAAAACCCGCGGGGGTTGAGACCCGTCCCAGGTAAAACACAAACTGAATTAGAAAAGGAGCCCAAGCCTAGAAAGAGGAACAACGGGGTCACGGGACCGGCAGGGAGAAGGCCTGCTTCTCTCACCCGGTGCCTGGAACTGCTTTCTCCAAGCATGCTGGGGCGAAAGGCGCTCCAAAAATCCGCGGGGCCTGGCACTGCTGGCCTCATACGGGGGACGGAGCCCAGGCAAAACCAGATGCATTCACGTCTCCACATATTCAAAGGATTTCTGCGGAGAGTGGGTCACGGCATCATCCCTCGAGGAGCCCCTGGGCCCACCCCAAGTGTGTGCACCTAAGTGTGTCAGCTCGCTGACAGTCCTTTTTGCCGCCGTCCCGGGCTCCCTGGTCCCGCCGACACCGCTGGGGTTACCGCTCGGCGACCAGTACCCGCCATCACCACCCCCAGAGCCTTGACAGCGGAAACCATTCCGCCCTCGCGCACGGCCCCGCCCAAAACGCTACTTCCGCTTCCTGGGCCCAGCCCCAAGCTCATTGGATCTGTGCGGCTACTCTTCTGCGTGGTTGCCGCCGTCCCGGGCTCCCTGGTCCCGCCGACACCGCTGGGGTTACCGCTCGGCGACCAGTACCCGCCATCACCACCCCCAGAGCCTTGACAGCGGAAACCATTCCGCCCTCGCGCACGGCCCCGCCCAAAACGCTACTTCCGCTTCCTGGGCCCAGCCCCAAGCTCATTGGATCTGTGCGGCTACTCTTCTGCGTGGGATTGGCCGCCGCCTCTGCCGCCTTGCAGCTGCTATGCTACTTCGGAGCTTCTGCGGGTTAGGCCGGGCAGTGGGCGCTACGGTCTGCAGCTCGGCAAGTACTGTCAGAGTGTGGATGTGAGGTTGAGAATGTGCCCCAGGTCTGGGAAGGCCAGCTAGTCCCTCTACTGAACGCCTGATGTTTTCGAGCCCCCCAAACCCAGAGACTGGGCTGTGCGGAGGAGCTATGCGCCCCGCGGGAGTTCATAAAGGAATGGTCTGTAGGGAACCGGTGGTCTTGTAGCTGGGGCGAATACAGAGGCAGGGGGACCCGAACCTGCTGGGCCTAGAGTCTGAGACCCGAAAGGCTTGGCCTTCTCATGCGACAGCGAACTAGAGTAAAGGTGATGCGATTCCTCAGAATGGTCCATCAGCGGATGGGCAGGGCTTATCTGCACTAACTAGACCAGAAGAGGCAGCCCCGAGGCCGAGAGCCCAGTATTGCCCCTCGTCCTGGTCCCATCTGCTGAATGCACACTCAACGCCTGGCCCCCTGAACTTAGCACCTCTCACGAGTCCATGTCATGTCTTCGAAATCTTGATGCTCATTTTACAGGTGGGGAAACTGAGGCTAGAGGGATGAGCTAACTTTTCTAAGGTTCTGTGGAGGTGGAGAAGATGAGGACGTGGAGTCCTCTATCTGACCTTCAGCAACAGGAAGGATGAAAGATCCCCAGAATCAGGGACAGGCCAGGCCTTCCATCTTCCCTAAGAGTCCTATTTATTTGCATCCTCAGGGGACCCGCTGGCTCTCCAGCTGGAACTACTGCTCCAGCCTTCCTGAAAGAGGTAGTGATTCTCACAGGCACCATGGCCAAGTGGAGGCTGGTGACAGCCGAAGAGAGTCAGGGCTGGACCACCTGGAGAGGGGCTCTCAAGCAGGTGCAGGTACCACCAGGCATCCCGAGACCTCCCTTCCCAGTGTGGGCCCCTCAGAACCTCTCTACCCTCTGCCACTTGAGCTCAGGCCTCCGACAAATTGCTGTATGAGCGGCTGCCCCAACTGTGTGTGGGTGGAATATGCAGAGGCACTACTGCAGCACTACAAGGACGGTGGGGAGCGAGCCCTGGCTACCCTGGAGGAGCACGTGGCGGATGAGAACCTCAAGGCCTTCCTCAGGATGGAGATCCAGCTCCGCACACGTGGTGGTGGCTGAGCCAGCCTGGTTGAGACACCGTCACCCCAGACAGAGACCTAAACTGGTGGCTTCTGCTCAGGAAGCAGTGGCTACCTTTGCTCACAATAAATAGGTGCCATTGTTTATTGACTTTTCCTGAAAATAAATACATTCTCCATGGTGGTTAAATAGGAAGTGTTGTATTGTCCATAAGGCCTGGGTGCCTTGTCTAAGCAAATGGGCACCAGTTGGCACTGGGACTGGTAGAAATCTGCCAAGCAGCTCCAGCTTTCAGTCTGTGAGGGTGAAATAAGACCCCCTCTCCCTGAATGGTTAAGTGATGCCCCTCCCGATCCCAGCAACCCGCAGGTCCCACTGAAGTTCAGCTCTGCCTACACTCTGCCTGTAGCTGGGAGGGGGGCACCTTATCTCCTGGAGGAAAACCCTTGGCGAGCACCCTGGGAAGGACCCCATCCATCCAGCTGCCCTCAGTCCCCGTTGGGGTCCTGGAGAGACCCCCTTCCTACCAGCCCATAGGGGCCTGGATGCCACTCAGAGACCTGTTCTTCCAACTACCTGGCCAAGGCTCCCCAAGCAGTTGGCAATGGAAGGACCAGGAGTCCAGGGGCACCAATCCCAGTTCTAGGGTACAGTCCTGGCCACCCTGACCCAAGGTAGGACTTTATCTTAGGATCCCCAGTGGCCTCCCTGACTCATGGAAATTTTCCCACCCCAACCCCTTCCCTGATCAGTTCCAAGCTATGGTTGCAAATAGCCTATTCAGTCCTGGATCAACCATACACACACACACACACACACACACACACACACACACACACACACACACACACATACCTATTTTGTCTCCTCATAAGGGAAAAGCTTGCAAATAGCCTATTCAGTCCTGGATCAACCATACACACACACACACACACACACACACACACACACACACACACACACACACACATACCTATTTTGTCTCCTCATATAAGGGAAAAGCTAGGATTGTAAAATGACTTCATGAAGGATGTTAGCTGAGACACAAGCCCTTACTATGTACCTTTTTTTTTATGTAGATCTGTGACAACAGAACCATGAGACTATAAGGTGGGCGGGTACCTTATTAGTGGACATAAGACACCCTTAGGTCAGGCTGGCCTCTTGAAGGCTGATGTACATGGTATGGAAACAGCCACTGGTGGACCCTGAAAAGCATGAGTATGGTGACTCTATCTATTAGACATAGACAGTCTAACCCCAACTCATTCCCATTCTGAAACGCCTGTAAAGAGTTTCCACAGAGACAGGGCAGCGCAGCAGGGCTTGGTGTGTTTCAGGGCTTCCTGAACTTGTGGGCAATGATGAGGGATTTATCAAAGAAACAAAGGAACAGGCTAGTTGGTGCATGCCTGTAATTCCAGCTCCTCGGGAAGCTGAGGGAGGAGGATCACAAATTCAAGGATGCCTGGGCAACTTAGTGAGACTGTCTTAAAGATAAAATAAAGGGACCAGGATTTAGCTCAGTGGCGCCATGCGTGCCTCACAAAGGCGAGGTTCCTAGATTCAATCCCCAGTACCAAAAAATAAAAATAAAAATAAAAAAATAATAATAAAAGCAAGCCCAGCATGGTGGACACAGCTGTAATCCCAGCACTTTTGGGAGGCTGAGGCAGGAGGATTCCTGAGAGTGGTCAAGGCCACCATGGGTGACATAGTGAGCTCAAGGCCAGTCTGCACTATAAAGCAAGATCCTATCTCAAAAAAGAAAACAAAATAAAAATAAATTTTAAAAAAAGTTTAAAAAGAGCTGAAGATGTAGCTTAGTGTTACAGTGCTTGCTTGGCATGTGTGAAGCCCTGAGTTCAATTCCCTATACTGCAAAAAAAGAAAAAAAGAAATACAGACACAGGCAGGATTGCAAGTTCAAGTCCAGCTTGGGCAATTTAGCAACTTAGCAAGACCCTGTCTCAAAATAAAAAAAGAAAAAGAAATATCAACAAAGGGTGAGGTCTGTGTGTTCTGTGTGCTTTTGTGTATGTTAACATATATTCTATCACTGGACCCTGTGAAATCAGCGTTATTGTGGAGTCGCCATTGGAACAGGCCAGTGAGTCGTGAGATGTCCCCCAGGAGAAGCCACTGGTCTTCAGCCCCTTGCTGCAGGGCAAGCCACCTTCTGGGTGTAGAGCCACCAAGCTCACCTGCTCCACCACTCTGGCTGGGATCTCGTGATCGTCTGTTCTGCAGCTACCTACTGAGAGTCTGAACTACCCGGGCTGGACACTGGGACTGGTAGAAATCCACCCTGATTCTCCATTGCAGGATATAAAGGTTAACCCAAAAATCATCCAAACATATAAACGCCATGAGTGTGAGGGAGAAAGGTCCTCACTGAAATGCATCCTGGTCTAGCCTGAGAAGTAACACTGGGCAGAGCTCTGGAGACCCAGGAAGAGGGAACTTGGGGGAAGAGGTGGGACACAGGAATTGTACCACACAGACAACCAGGTACAAAGGCTCTGGGATCGGAGCAAGAGTCAGGGATTGAATCTGAGACCAAAGAAATGAAGAAGGGCTGGAATACACAGGTCATTGGGGCCATAGAGGTGGGTTCTTCAGAGATCAGGACTCAAAAGGGGGAGGCGGGGGAAGCCGCCAGCCAGAGCCATCTGTAAGATGGTTGTGTGGCTTCTGGAGGGAGAGACCCACCCATGGCCGTTCAGGATCGCACTTCCCTCCCTGTCTCAGCCACCTGCCAAGTGTCCTTCCTTCAGGCCCCTGACCATTTAGCCCTCTGCCTGTCCCTAGAATCCTTGGGGGCCCAACAATCTCATTAGTGTGGCATCAGAGAGGAGCCTTAATCCACTTACTGGCAGCAGGATAAATGCCAGAGCCAGTACCCTGCTGAGCCACATCAGCCACCAGCACCTGTGGCCCCCCAGACCCGTCCAGTATCTGGTGAGTAGTGACCTACCCTGTGCCTTTCCTGGCAACCAGGCATCTGCCTATCTAGACAGGGTAGGGGGAACCCACAGGCCTTTATCACCTCGGCTAAGCTCTCGGGTCTTCAGGAGTCCATCCACCACCATCCAGAGGGGACACAGCCAACCTCCTCCTTTGCTCCCCAGTATCAGAGTGTGTGCCGCTGTCCCCAAGGCCAGCAGTGTGATGGTCTAAGAACCTCAGGTGATAGGTAGCACCAGTTACGGGATTTCCACGGGTACAATATCCAGTAGGTAGATCTCCATCAGGACACCAGCTGCCCACCATGAGCTCATGATCCAGAGAGGAGGTCTGCCTCAGCCTATGCTTTCAGGAAGCAAGGAGTGGGGGCCATTGGGCTGAGCAGCCAGGACCACCAGGCTCCTGAGCCTGGGTTCCTCCTAGCCTGGTGTCAGCCCCAAGGACAGAGGCTGCACCTGGGGGACAGAAGGTGGGGCAAATGGCGCCACCTGTCTTCATCTCCTGGTCAGTCTCAGCCCCAGTGTTCCAGCAAACAGCTGGTGGTGGCCCGAAGCTGGAGTCATTTAGGAGAGGGGACCCCAGAAGGTGTTCCCTGGGGAATCTAAGGCCAGGGACGGTATCCCTGCTCATGTCGTGTGTATAGCATCAGAATAGTCTGGCAGCATGTATAGGGCATTTTGTGTAGTCCCAGGGAAATTAGGAGGCTCTCTCTGGTCCTTTTTTTTTTTCTTTTCAGTACCGGGGCTCAGACTCAGGTCCTTCCACTTGCAAGGCAGGTGGTGGCACCACTAAGCTAAATCCCCAGCCCTCTCTTGGTCTAATAGGCTTAGAGGAAGGTGAGCTGCCCTTAGCCAAGGTTACCAGGGCTTAGGGCATCTGGAAGAGGCTGCAGGGCGGGGGAGGTCACCCTCAGTGGCACAAGGACAATGCCTCATGCAGAGCATCCACGCCAGAGCCAGGAGGTGACACTGACTCAAAGCACGCGCCAAGTGCAGTGGCAGAGGGAGGATACGGCGAGCCCAGGAGAGCAGTGCCCTCCCTGCCCATTCAGCTTGACTTTGAAGGGGGCCAGGAAGACAAGGGTTACACAGCTCAGCGGACAGCTCATCCTGAGCAGGGACCCTTCCCCTGGAGTGCCCCTGCCTCTTGTTTTGTGGGATATTACTCCTCACCATTACTTTGACCCACCCAAAGGACAGGCGATAAACAGAACAATAAGCACATAAATATGAGGAAAGACCATCATACAAGCACACTGATAAGCTAGGAATTTGGGCTAATTTGTGATATGAATAAATAAATGAGGACCTGGGGACACAGTAACCATGCGGGAGAAGGCAGAGAAGGCCCCTGAAAGGGGTGTGGGGAGGGTGAGACAACCCAAGGCGATCTGTCAAGAAGGCCGGGGATTTAGCTCTGTGGTGCCGCAGCCTGCTTCGCAAGCGCAAGGACCCAGTTAGATCCCCAAAGATTTAGCTCAGTGGCATGGCGTGAGGCTGCTGAGGTTGAACTGCTGGGCCAGAAAGGGCTCCTTGGGGTCTCATCCCAGCCCTAGCAGGGTCCCCAGAGGCTTTCAATAGTGACAGCTGGATTCAGACTCCAAGGCTGCAGGAAGAGGTGGAGGTTCGGCAGGCATTTGCAGTACAGGTGGTGAGAAGGCCTGGTTTGGGGCATCTCGACCGCGGGATGGGTCTGGTGTGGATGCTGCGTGGGGTGGGGGCAAGGGAGACCAGGGCACAGGGACACCCAGAGTGTGCATGGCCAGCAGCAGTGGGGAGTGTGGCTGGGCAGGCAGGGCAATGCGGGTGACTGGGAGGGGGGACAGCCCCAAGAGGAGCCGGAAGGAGGCCACTGAAGGATGGTGGGGCTGGTCCTCTGCTCCAGGACAGGGGTCAGGAGCAGAAGGGCTGACTGGGACCCCCACCTTGTCCTCTCTCAACCTGCATGAGGAGTCCCATCCAGCCTGAGGGCGTCCAGCGGCCAAGGGTCACTGCAGTGTCTCTGCCATCCTCACCATGAACCTGGAGCTGCCCAAGGCCGAGATCCGCTCAGCCACCAGGGTGATAGGAGGACCTGTCACCCCCAGAAAGGGGCCACCCAAGTTCAAGCAGCGGCAAACCAGGCAGTTCAAGAGCAAGCCCCCCAAGAAAGGTGTCCAAGGGTAAGCAGGAAGGGGAGCCTCTGGAAGGGCAGAGGTGATCCCCAAGCTTCACAGGAAGATGAGGTGGAGGGCGGAGTGGGACTTTGCCTTTTTCCAGGCCAGGGCCAGGCAGTTCCTGAGGCCTGAGGTGGGAGGACTGTCACCCACTCCAGGTCCCACTGCCAAGGAGCTCTGGAAAGCAACCCACTGCCATCCAGAGATTCAGCCACTGCCTCACCTCAGGGGTGTGTGTGCACTCCATCCACACACATCTGTGCACACACAAGCCTGCTACGGCCACGTGCATTCCCAGAGGCCCAACCTTGCTCTTTTTCTGTTGCTATGACAAAATTCCAGAGGCTGGATACTTTATGCAGAGAAGAAGCTTATTGCTCATATTTTGGAAGGGTGCAAGTTCCAAGTGGGGCAAGCCCCTCGCTTCCCCTTTGCTGAGGGCCCCGTGCCACCTCACAACATGGTGGAAGGCATCATGGTGGGAGAGCCAATAAGAGGGGTAGATGGGTCACACGGTGAGACAGAAAGCTGAGAGTGGGGAGGCCCGGGTTCACTCCTGCTTTATGGGTTACAACTGGGTCCTGCAAGAGCCCCATTAATCCGTGTGCCCACGTGGCCCAATCATCCTTCCCCGGGCCCCTCTATGGCTCTACCACCTCTCAGTGCTGATACACTGGGGACTGGGCCTCACAAGCCTTCCAGGAACACCACACCTACGCCGCAGCAGGCACTCACGCCACCCCACGCCCTCCACAGTCCCGGCTCTGCTCTCCCACACACCTGCCCACCACCTGGAGCCCCATCCTGGCTCAACCCTCTGGGTAGCCACCACCTCCATATCTGCAGCAGAGTGGGGGCTCCAGCCAGCCCGGCAGCAGGAAGACTGGGTCCTGACCTCGGCCCACCCTCCTGACCACGCCTCTGTCTTTGCAGGTTTGGGGATGACATCCCCGGAATGGAAGGCCTGGGAACAGGTATGAATCCTGAGGAGCTGCCCCTGTGCTTCCTGCCTCCCCTGCTTACTACTCAGGGTGTTGCCTGTTTGTCCCCAACATCAATCATCACTCCCCACAAGCGAGGGCCCTGTGGGGTAGGCCCACCAGCCAGAGGACCAGGAGGAACCCTTGCTGCCCTGCGCACAAGGCCCTCCTTTCCCAGCTTTTCCCTCTGACTGGTATACCCAAGGTAGGCACTCTTGCTGGGCAGATCAACGGCCTCCTCTTGGGATGTGGAAAACAAGGGCCTGGGATGGGTGGCCCTGGGGCCATGGCCCCTCTCTGACCATGCCCCTCCTGCAGACATCACAGTCATCTGCCCCTGGGAGGCCTTCAACCACCTGGAGCTGCACGAGCTAGCCCAGTATGGCATCATCTAGCCAGCTGCCTGGAGCCTGCAGCTGCCTGCTGTGAGCCCCATTTAGGGTCCCTGTCCAGAGCCTTCAGTCCTACTTGCATCTGGTCTCCAGGATGGGGTGACCTCAGGCCCTGGAGCCTGCCACCTCCCCCAGATCACCCTGCTCACCTTCCAAAGACCTTGGCCCACCCCCTCAGGTCTGCAGATGGCCAAGTCCCAGGCTCCCCCCTCTTTGCAGCTGGAATGCACACAGGAGTGTCCCCCACATCCCAGTGCCTGGTGCTTACCCCCCCCCCAGCTGGGTGGCCCAGGGTGGGACATGGTGGGTCAGGAATCCTCAGCGTATATGGAGAAATGAGCTCCCTGCATTCATGCACCAACCCTTCTAACATGGCCCACCTTGCTGTCCCTGTTTCAAAATAAATTAGTGTGTACTTGCTTGTCTGAGGCACGTCAGGGGGTGCAGAACCGAAAGTGAGGATTGCTTTGGCCCAGACACATGGAGGAAGGTGCAGGGCGGTGAGCAGTGGGGGCAGGATGGGCTGTCCAGGTGGAAAGGGCACAAAACCCATGCATCACATAACCAGCTTACAGAGTCTCGGCAACACAGCACATGGATTAGGCCACATCCCCCACCCCCATCTCCCAGTGGCCATAGTCAGCAGTGCATGCGGGTGGCCAGGGCCGTCCTCACCGGAAAGGTGGGAACTGGCCACATACCACGGGGTAGGAGCTCATCTCCCTACCTACCAGGCAAGGAAACTGAGGCACAGAGTTAGGGTCAGGAGCCCACACCCCAGCCAAATGTGTGCTTGGTGACCTGGGGATCCCATTCCTGACACCACACAGGAGCAAGTCACCTGCACACACCTGTGCAAGCTCTCTGGGTGGCACACTCGGGGCCCCAAGTGCTCCCGACCAGCATGGCTGTGTCTTCCCACAGGAACAATCAATGATTCTGGGAAGGGCCCTCTCTGGTTCTGCTCACAGGACAATCGCAAACAGCCACAATGAGCCTGGATGGCTGGGACTTCCCTGCCATTCCTCACATGGCAGTTCACCATGGGCATGGTACCCTCCAGTGGCCAATGTACCCTCCTCCCCAAAATTCCTTTTGGTAAGAGAGGTGTTGGCCTTACCGTCAACCCCACCACAGGCTGGGAAGGGGAAGGAAGCCCCAGAGAGGGAAGGGGCCCCTACAGGTGAGGAAATGAGGGGCTGGAAGCTGACCAGAGGCAGATCAGGTCCAGGGTCAGAGGCAGGAACCCCAACTTGTGCCAGCCAGATGAGAAGTAGATGTGACCAGATACAGACCATGATGGCCTTTGCAAGGAGCAGGGGTGGGGGGAACTTACGTGGGTCCTCAAGAAAGCCAGAATGATATCAGATAACATTACAAAGTTGATTATAGGGCTTGGGAACAATGGGCAGGAAATGGGTACAGGGTGGAGTGGGAGAAGTCCCAGGGTGAATTACCTGGACTACTACTCTACATGCACACACCATGCAAGCCAGGGGAAGCCCAGAGCCCCACCTATACCTTGGCCTCTCCTCCCTTAGCCCTGTGCAGTGGGGAAAGCAGCATAGGTAGCTCCATGCTCAGGGGGGCCCAGCCTGGGGTCCTCCTCTAGCTTTTGGGCCTTGAGAGCTTTCAGCAGCAGGGTGGCCAGCAGGAGCTCAGCCCCCTGGACTAGCACAATGACGATGGCACAGCCGCCCATGGTCTGTATGTTCCCAAGCAGCCACTGCTGCAGCCTGGGGCTGCAGCCCTCCAGGTATACAACTTGCCCTGCTGCGGCCTGGTCCAGGTGTAGTACCCCGAAGCCACACTGGGTGTTCACCAAGTTCCCGTCTTCCTGAGGGTTGATACAGCAAGAGGCAGGAAGGCTGCAGGCCTGCACCCCTGGAGAGCTGCAGTTGAAGTACCTGCAGGACACATGAGGCTCAGTCTTGGGGGCAGGCCACTGTCTCACCCACCTGCAGATTCATGACTGCACACACGACATACATGCACTCACGTGCATGCACATGTGCACACACACACTCATGCCCACACTTGCACATGCAGTGAGGTGTACACACACATGCAAGGGCATAAACGCACACAGATATACACAAGCTTCCCACGTGCTTGTGCAGAGAGGGAGAATAGGAAAGTAAGCACTGCGACAGCTGAAGGGGAGACGAGGGTTTGATGAGGGGCGGTAGGAAGACCTCACTCTGTAGATGAGTTTGTTGGAGCAGGCAGAGCTGCATTGGGCAAAGGTGACAGGGCCCAGCCAAGTGCTTCTGAAGGGGGCCGGGGGTCACATGGGAAGAGGCAGTACTGAGAGTGACAAAGGGCAAGGGGGCTGTTAGGAGTCCTGGGGGGCTAAGGGGCGCTGCCCTCACTCATCCCAATCCTTCCTGACTGCGGGGGCCCTCAGCTGCTGTTGGCCTTCTGTGGGCCTCTAGTGCCCTGCATGCGTCTCTCTGGACCCTGGGATGAAGACTTGCGGGCTGGACCTAAGCCGCCTCACAGCCGCCTGTGCACTCCACTCTGTGCCCCATACCTGGAGGGGCCCAACATGTTTTAGCAATAGTTGGGAACAAATGGGCAGTTTATAGAATCTCCCCTGACTCCATCTCTTGTGGCTCCGGGGCTGGAAGGGTTCAGGAAGGAAACCTGTGTATTTATGTATTTATATATTTATTTATGAGACAGGGTCTGGCTATGTAGTTCAGGCTGCCCTTGAACTCATTATGTAGCTCAAGCTAGCCTCAAATTCACAGCAATCCTCCTGCCTCAGCCTCCTGGCTGCTGGGATTATAGGCATGTACCATCACGCCCACAAGAAGCATACTTTTTGTCCTAGGCATCACAGGAAAGACAGAAGCTGCTCAGGTGTCTGTGCATGGAGAGTAAATTGCCAAACATGTACTGCATTGAGGAGCTGGTGGGGGCAGCTCAGTGCGAGGGCACTTGCCTAGTGAGTGTGAGGCTCTGGGCTCCAGCCCCAGTATCACAAAAAAGAAAAAAGAATATATTATGTCCCCAAATAGACAATGTTTAAACACACACACACACACACACACACACACACACATGCACACATGCAAGCACGCATGCAAAAACAGTGGAATCAAATTAATTCTGAATTAACCTAAGTTATTTTCATTTGACATTGAAATGTCCTAGCTGACGAGAAATAGAAGGTTGGGTTTGGTTTGGTTTTTGAGACAGGCTCTCAAACATAGTTCAGGCTGACCTTGAACTCATGGCAAGCCTCCTGTCTCAGCCTGTCCACTGCTGGGATTACAGGCATGGGCCTCCATGCCTGGCAAAAAAAGTGACTTTCTAAATCTGCTGGCTTGGATTCTCCATTAACATCCATGTGTCCCCTTGGGTTTGGCTGGAAGGAGGCTTAGCCTGGGCCCAAAAGTTGCCCAAAAGGGCTGACCCAGGGCCCAAGCCTGCAGAGCCAGAAAAGGCAAGTACTCCAGCACCTCCTGGGTGGGTGTGCACATCTCTGTGTGTGTCTATGTTGGCATTTTGTGAATGTATCCTTAGGAGAGTGTGCTTGAGTATAAGACTGTTCTGTGTGTGCATGTGGACACCTGAGTGTTCATATGCATGAGACCCACCAGTATGTGTGTCCATGAAAGTGCACAGGCACCTGTTAATGTGCACACCCATGAGAGTGAGTGTGTGGCTTCCCGGGCTGCCCTTTTCTTGCTCACCCCAGACTCACAGGTTCCGCTGCCAGTCCTGGTAGGACACTGCCCCACAGCACTGCAACCCCAGCTGGACTTGGTCAAGGAGGAAATGCAGGTCTGGGTCGTCCTGGTAGTGCATGATGGCCACTTGTAAGGTGTGCTCCAGGCCATCCTGTAGGGGACCCCAGAAGGCCACTACAAGGGCCCCCGCCAGCGCCTCAAGCACCAGAAGGCCAAGGATGGCCCCCCAGAAGCAGCGAAGGAGGCTGCTGCTCTCACAGAGGGCTCCTAGGCAGCCAGCCAGACTCACAATGCTGACCACCAGCCCACCAAGCACTAGCCCCAGTATGGGGTCTGGGGGGAGGGCTGTCCCCAAATTACTTCCCAGAGACCCTTTGACAGCCAGGCCCCAGAGCCCTATGGCCAGGGCCAGCAGGCCCAGCAGGGAGAAGAGGAAGTTGGAGAGGAAGATCAGGCACTTGATGCAGCTGCTCCCCACAGGGAGGGAGGTGGCAGGGCCTCCCCTTGAGGCCTGGTGCTTGGCTCCAGGAACACAGCAGCAGCAGATCCAGGTCCCCAACTTGTCTCCCTGAGGTGCTGGACCTAGGTGGCTTGGTGTGGCTGGACTGTCCATGGAGAGGGGCGGCTCCTGGCCTACAACATCCTGCAGAGAGAAGGGGAATCAGAGACCTCACCAGTGAGATCCTAGTCACTCAGACGCTGTGGCAATCAGGACAATCAGCAAGGGAGGCTCCCCAGCAGGGTTGGGAGGTTTAGCTGCCTGCAGATGTGGCTGCATGGGCCCAGCCTCCTTTAGAATGGGACGACAACCACACTCTGCAAGGTCTGTGGTGAAAACTGAGAAGGCAGCACTCGACAAATGTTCCTCTCCTCTCCCCCATCCCTGAGGTATGGAAGGGCCCACTGTGATCTTGCCTTCCTGCAGTGCAGAAAAGTGCAGGCAGGACACTTTCTCTGTGTCCCAAATGGGTCTTCTAGGGTAAAGACCCGTGCAGTAACCACATGTAGTTGCAGAGTGTACCTCCTCTCTGAAACCAGCCTGGGAGTGGACAGCTGTGGGGAGGAGGGACCCACGGAGAGGGGCAGCCCCATAGGTACTCAGTTTGTTCAAAACAAAGTGTGATATGGGTTTGGGATTTAGCTCAGCCCAAGTTCAATCCTGGTACCAAAGAAAACAAAAAAACCAGAGTGTGACGTGGGGGAGAGGTCAGAGCTCAAGCAAAGCTCCCCTTTCCATGAGAAGATGCTGCCCCTTCCACCAGGGGCTCCTTTACTCTGAATTTGCAGCAGAGGCCAAGCGGGCTACTAATTAGCCCTTGGCCCAAATGAATCATCAGGAGCAAATGGACAGTCTGCCAAGACCAGATGGCCAGACCGGGACTGTCAGAGACCATGGATGTCCATAACCTTCACCCTCTCCTGCTCCCTGAACCAGAGTTACGCCCCTAGATCCAGAGGCCAGCACTAGGGCAATGGGCTGAGGTGTAGCTCAGTGGTGGTAGGTTTGTGTGAGACCCTGGGTTCAACCCCCAATCTCACCAGCTTGTCCACTTTACGCACACCTACCTGATAGTAAGGCCCAGCACCAAGCAAGGCTTGGGGTGGTGCTAGGGTGGGGTGAGATCCCAGCCCAGGGCCTCCCTTGGGGCTTCAGGGCTGCAGAACACCTCCCTATGAGGCCATTCAGCCTGGTTTACCTGTGGCAGCAGTGGGCTCCATTCCCCCTCATCCATCCTCTTATTGGAAGAGAAGCCCTCAGCGCAGGGCTAGGAAAATGACCAATCCCTCTCTGGCTGGGGCTATTGGGGCCCTGGTCTGCTCCACGAGCTGTGCAGCTCAGGCTGGGGGCAGCTGCAAGTGCTACGCACACTCCAGAGTCACAGCAGGATCATGTGAGCAGTCACATTTTAGGGCTCAAGGCGGCCCCTGCTTGTGGAGATGCAGACTTTCTTGTCCGCCCCTTATTTTCAGCCTTGGCTCTGGGACTTTCCAAAAGCACTGCACATGCCCCCCTTGGGGAGGGCTGACAGTGTTCACTTCACGGCCATCTCTGCAGGGCCCCAGTGTGGGCCTCAGCCCTGCAGGTTCATTGGCAGCTCCACCAGCACCTCAGTCAGACACATTGGTTGGTTCACAGTAACAATCATAAGAATGCACCAGCAGTCTGAGTACTCTCCCAGTTTCTTCACTGCAAGAATAAAAGACAGCATCTACTGGTCGGGTTGTACCTTTCCTGGTACCTAGGCTTGGGGCTCCCCTACCTGCCTTTCTGAGCTTCTGAGAAGTTTGTCATGGTCACCTTGAGTCCTCCTTCCGCAAGGATCCAGAGCACGCGGCTGTCGGTGCTGGGTCCCCACCTGCCATCAACTCTCTGGCCTTGGACAGACCCCCTCCCCAGGCTGGCTGCGTGTGGGATGTGTGTGAGATGTGAGTATATTTATCAATAGACAAGTCCTCTGGGCAAAAGAGATGTTGAGCACATGTACATAATGTAATTTCATATAATTTATACATATATTTGCAGTGCTAGGGAGCAAGCCCAGGGCTTCACACAAGCTAGGCAAGTACATTGCCACTGAATACTTTTCAGTTTTTATTTTATTTTTTGGTTCAGGGGATCGAGATCGGAACCTTGCGCTTTCGAGGCAGGCGACGGCACCACTGAGTTAAATCCCTGGCCTCTCGTTTTTAAATGAATGTAATCTGAAATTGAACTACGAGGTTAAAATGTGTAGTTTTTAGTTTCCTAGAGGTGGATGGCGCTGAAGTTGGTCCTAAGGCACATAAGTTGTTCAAAACGCAGTTTAAACTCTTTGGGATGTTGTTTTTCCCCAGAATCCACCAACTGCATTTTGGGTGAATTTTTGGAAGCTTGTCTCTTCTGAGGGTTCATCGTCCGGGCCTGGGGATGAAGGGCCACCTCTAGCCCCGCACAGACTCCATCTGCAAGCCCCTCACCCTAGCTGGGCCGGGCGGGGCGGGGCGGCTCCCGGACAGGGCGGAGGCGC